AGAAAGTGAACTGATCTGGTCATGTGACCTTTCACACTAGTCACATGACATTAATTGATTTTAATCAAGACAGTCTATTTTGTCATTTAAAAGTTGAATTTCTTGCCCAAAGTCAATAACAACATTTTTAGAGCTTCCAGAAATAAGAAAAAAGCTGCGGTCACAATTGTGACCGGTGGGATTAAACGGGTTAATCATTAAGTTAAGTGGTCTAAGGCAAAGGACCATAAAATGTGCGTCCTGTTCGCGCAGAGATCACACGTCATCAGCACGTTTCATGCTAAGACGAAGAGTAAAACAGATGTCAGACACTGAGCACCAAACTGAAACAACAGCCACCTTTTACAGTTTCTCCTGAACCAAAACCAGTATGCTGTGTTCACACTATAAACTGTAATTTGGAAGAGATGGAAACCTGTGATGTTATACTCGGAGCAGTTTGTGACTCGAGTTTATGCGTTCCAATGACAAAACTACCAACGCCGAAAATAATCTGCAGGTACAGGAGGTACAGGTCAGACAGGTTATAATTGTAATAGTATGTGCTTTGAGATATGAGGTAGTCTAACGTCGTTTCGTGATGCTTTGAAAACTCTGTTGTGTGCGTTCACGTGTTTTGAAGGAGGTTGTCACATTCATTCTAAAAATTGCCTACCCCACCTTCAACATCTATGGTTAAATAATACTTCAGTATATTAAACAACACAAAACTGCACAGAACAAACCCAAAGCAAGACCTGCAGCATTGCATTAATACGATTTAAAAAAATAATAATAATAATAAGACCTCATGTTCACATCCAGTCTTTCCACATCTTCTGACAGCTGTAACCTCACCTCTACTGTCCAACTGCATTCAATTCAATCCCATCAGCCCTTAGGAAGATAGTCAGTCATTCACATTTAAAGAAACAACTTGACAAGGTCATTTTTCTTTTCTGTGTTGATGTGTTTCCTGATGAAACAGGAAGTTGCAGCAGTACATATTATGCAAGATGAATCAGCAAAAAAATTGCTTAGTTTTTCTAAAGGAGAATTTTGAATGTGTAAATCTGCTGCAAGTGTAATCTTGTCCATTTATGACTTATGAGTATCAAAATTAACTAAAAGATATAGACACTGACTAAAAACTAAACAACTCTTATTAAATGTGGTCTTTACAAAAAGTAAAGATTTTGATTAGAACCAAAAAGATCACTTAAGCAAAAGAGATCTGCAGTTATGACGTATTTTTGTAGGCCGACCCATAAGTTAGCAACACTCTGGTTTCCTCCACCAAACAAATAGGATTTTTCCATTGGCTTTTGGATTATTGCAGAAAATGAGCTCTATGACCAAGTTACAAAAGTTTATGATTCATATACATTTTTTCAACATGATAATCTTCACAAATTAACAAAACTTTTATGAATATTGAAGCCTAAATTAAATTGCCAGAAGTAAAAACGTACATTCAGGCTATTAGCGAACAACACCACATTTACTAAAGTTAAATTAAAGTAAAGGTACATTATGTTGTAGAATAAAACATGCAAATATCTTGAGCTTGTGTTGAAAACATTGGGGAGAAAAACCCACTGACTTCAGGACGATGGACTTGGAAGTGCTAAATAATAATACTATTATCTTTCTATAGATGCTTTACAGTTGAATTTGAATTTGTCTCACATTTGCTGAAGTTTGCATCATTAATTCTGCACTTTCCTATTCATTACGGTCAAGTAGGTATGTCCCAATGTCTCTTGCAACAACACGTTATTATCGATAAAATATAAAGATATGTTATATCATTTGTAGGTATCAGGGAGCCGCTATCAGTATACGGGTTATTAAATCGCTTTCGAATGCTCGCCAACTTTTCACTTTCGAATTCGCAATCACACTTACTCAGTGCATTGTTGGCGATAAGATATTTGTAAATAAGTATCCTTCATCATCTTGTCAGTCAACTCTTCTTACTGTCGTTACGTGATAAGTGAAATCTGACTCCTGCTGCACTGTACTGAGAGCAGACGCTTTCAGTTTATAATTGTAGCGTCCATTGTCTAATCAAACTACATTGTTTTATTTCTATATTTCAACAGTGGAGGCAGTACCACGTTTGGCAAGTAATGTAATCGGTGTGTACAGCCAAATACCGTGTAACACCGACTACCTCAGCAAGCCTACTGTGAAGCCGCTTTGAAACAATTTCTAAAGTATAAAGCGCTATAAAAATAAAGGTGATTGGACTTAAAATGCTAACTCATTTTTGGGTTTTGGCTGACAAAAAAAACCAAAAAACTTTACCTCTGTATCCCATTAAAACCTAAGATACATATACAACCTTAAGAACCCCATTCAGCCAAAAATGGCTCTTTATAAGACAGGGTTTTTTGCATTTAAAACTGCCAAATGGATGGAGAAACAATGCAGAATAAAACCTGCTGCAGCCAGAATATTGCATTAGACAGGCCCACACAGATTTCACAACGACCTTTAAAACGACCACTAATTTCAGGCTTCAGAACGTTACTGAAAAAAAAGCCTTTCAAAATGTGTGTATGTGTGTGTTTAAAAATGTCTGTCTCTGCTAGATCTTCAGAAAACCCTTAGTTTAAAGCTTTTAAACCGTGGGCTCAACACTACCTGTCATCTCTCACCCTGACAGACTGATGGAGCTTCTGGAGTTATTACTCAAACTCACACAGTGACAGCACACACTCACATATACCAATAGCAAAACAGGACTTAGAGCTATGACGTACCTAACGCACAACGGTAAAATGTGTGTCAGAGATTTTGCTATAGCATTTAAACTGCAAACATATTAGAGCAGAACTTTTACGATATGTATACATGAGAGAAAACATATTTCAACAGATGTCGCAGATGTGCATATCAGCTAAATAAGAGCAGGGTTGTGTGCTCAGAATTGAATTGACAATGTTTTTTAAATTCCATTTAGATTCCTGAATTTGAATTAAGTTTGAGTTGAGGTAGCAAAACAGAATGGAGAATTGTAATTTAAATTTAAAAAGAACTGAAATGCAAAGAAAATCATTCTGCAATTAGTGTGATTTTGAATTAGATAAAGAAAGCTCGTCAAAACAAACTTTAAACGATGGCTTGATAAAGCCTTATCTGAAAGTTTTAATACAAAGTAAAGAAAAAGTTAGAAGTTTTTGTACTTAATTTACATATGCATCGTCATACTTAATCAATTTACTTTCTTTATATAGATCAAGGTGGAAGAACGCTTTGTTTCCCAGAATACCATTACCTGAATTCTGATTGTTTCATCTAATAAGAATTTAATATGTTTAATAGGGCTGTCAAACGATTAATTGCGATTAATCGTTTGACAGCCCGCTTAGTTACACTTATATATTGTGAATCTGGTTTTGCACTGATGCCAGACTTCATTTCTAATGAATAGTCTGATTTTTGGCTGCGTGTCCTCGAAATAAAAAGAATACAAAAAGAGATGAAGTGGCTTTCATTTGTGCAGCATTTCATGTACTGGCTTATCTAAAAATAGTTTTAGCAGATGGTTATTTAATTTATAAACCATTTGCACATTTTCAGAAAACTGACTACATTGCTACCTACACGTTCTTTCTCATTTCAAGGAGTAAGTTGTTGGTCATCCCACCCAGCCTGAATGATTTTTTCAATGTTGGTGGTCATTCAGTTGAGCATGGAAATATGCGTGTGTGCGTGTGTCTGTGTTTTAATGTCCTTGTCACCTTCCCTTTCAAAACTTCCCTGACTGCATCAGCATTCATAATATCACCTCTCATTAACACAAAGAAATTACTGACACAGAGAAAGAGAGAGGCAGAGATAAAGAATGAGAGGAGAGAGAGAGATGCATATTGAAAGAGAGAGGTATGAAGAGACTCTTCATTTCACCTCCTGCAATCACTTCATCCATATAAAGAGCCTCCGAACCCCCCTGATCTTACTCCCCCTGATCCCACAGCTGAGAACTCCTAAACACACTTATGGACAGGTGCTTCATTTCGAGATCTCAATCTCTCCAGTGTGGATTGCACAACACATGCCGCAACACACCGGCTGCATCCCAATTGGCATACTTTGACTGCATACTAAAACTAAGTACACCAGTATCCCAGTACGACAGTAACCACATATTTAGGATTTAAGGGCCAAATATTCTAGCTGAAGAATCAACCGTTTATCCAATACCTGAAATCTGATCCAGTTCCTCTCTGTTTAAGCTGATTATGGGCCTGATACAAAATCATAAAACAAGTACAGTATACACACAACTGACAACGTTCTTGACCAATACCATTCACTGTCAACTTAAATAGCCCTAACAGTTCTCATGGTTTTTGAATCTAACAGTTCCTGTGCTATTATGTGTTCAGAGACCTAATATCCCTATTAATATAGGCTAGTGGATATTACGTGTGCATATTGAGCTTCTATAAAAGTAAATTTATCTTTAACATGTTATCTCTACCTAATCTATGCTATCACTTTGGCATACTGCTTTCAATGTCATCTAATTCTGGACGTACTAATCCTAATCTTGCATACTACATTTAGTAGGGATAGTATACAAACACAAGATGAATACAGCCACATTCACACAAGCTCACACATATCCATTGTTTTGAATATATGAGGTAACGTTATGTTATAAACACAAGACAACCCCTAACCCTGAAATATAGGCGTTTTAAAATTTGGGCTAATTAATAAGCAATTTTGCCAATATATGAAGGTTTTACCTAGTGTGAAAGACAACAAAGGAAGGATCAGTCAGCTTTTGCTATTTTCAGGGAATTTTTAGTTAATTCCCAGCAGGTTAACAAAACACAGAGAACCATCCTTTAACTTTTGTTCTGAATTAAGCTAATTAAAATGACTACAGACCTTTGCGGGTACATTTGGTCCATAGAAATTAAGAAAGCAAAACGCGCACACACTCTCTCTCTCTCTCTCTCACACACACACAGTAGCATAAGGAAATAACTGGGAAAACTCACGTCGCGGAATTTGTTCCAGTATTTGCTCTTGTCGTACTGGGACACGGTGCTCATCCACTTATCATTGTCCAGCGGGTTTCCGTCACTGCTGCCGGTAACCGACACCGTCAAAAACACCAGGGACACGAACAGACCGAGACTCAACATCATCTGAAAGAGAGAGAGAGAAAGAGAGAGAGCAAGTGAAAAAAAAAATTAGACACGGGGCACACTTGAAGTAAAGACGTCCAACCTTTTTGAGTTTATATAAACAAGCCCAAACAATAAAACATCAAAAAGCTCACTAATTCGTATCCAATAAACAACTCCAGAGCCTCGCGGGCCGGTCGAGGATTATTTCTGGATTATAAATCCGCTGAATATGTCCATCTGATATGATTAATCGTCCCTGAGGAGAAAATCCTGAAGTGACTTGACAAACAAAAATAACGGACTTTAACGGGCGAGTAAAAACGGCTCGCGCTTCCCGCGTTCGACTCCTTGAGCGCGAGCTTCACTGCCTTCTGGTTTAATTGGCTTCATAGTATTATAACGACATTATTCGCTTCACTCACCTCAAGACGGGACTGTTCTCGATTCCCGGGGCCAAACTGAACGGGTGATTGGAGACCGGGCGGGCGGCGCGTCCGTGGGACCGTAAAGTATCCGAGACACGGGAGTGGGTGAGTTTCCTCAGATCTTGTGGCTGCTGCACTGAACACGACTGGGAGAAACGGACCCGTGTAATGGAACGGTGAGCGTCTCCGCCCCCTTTACCTTGACTCCGCCCACTTTTCCTCGATCTCTCTCTCTCTCTCCACACTCGACGTTATGTGATAACGCGTGACGCTAACTCTAATAACTGAACCGAAACGCTGCCGTTATTATTCTGAACGCTTTCTTCGCTGAACTTTGTATATTATAAAAGGAAATGTAGTTTTGTAGTACGACACACACACACACACACACAGAGAGAGAGAGAGACTCTCTCTCTCTCTCTCTCACTCACACACACAAACACACATTTTCAATTCTCTCAGAGATGGATGTAGAACAAAGGGAGTGGTGCATTCAGTCGGGAACACACGTCGACGTTGAGGTGTGTGTGCTGGAGGAGGCTATAATACGCAGGTGTTGACTTTAAGCTGTAAAACATCCTGTGCTGTGCAGAGAGGGAATCAATACACTGACAAGCGCTCACTCCCTGATCACTCCTAACAAATTAAAACCAGCCTCCGTTTTCATTTGAAATCAGGCTGTAATGGCTCTAAACTGCTGCTGTCCACTGCAGTGACTCCAGCTGCAGGGAGACGGATTGGGAATATCGCCTCATGTTTAATTGAACAGAATAAACAAGTCAATGCATTAACCTCATTAGTAAACATAACGCGGGGAAAGTATTGAGAATGATATTTTTTTAGGTGTTCTCCATAGTCAAATGGAGAGGTTCAGTCATGCTCTCGGGGTTTGAACCGCTGATCCAGTGAGTGTGTGGGGGAGCTGTCCATTCAGCACCACGCACACATACACACACCTTTACACTGCAAATAAGGCTTTTAATGTGTATGAACGGGAGACGAGACGGTGCGACCATACGGTTTAATGCTGCACAGAGGCGGTATACATTTATAGCTACAGATATTACTATTCCTGAATGTTTTAAGACTCATTCCAGAAACCAAATAAAGTGCTTGTTATTATGCATTCCATTCTAACAAACCAACCCAACATCATATAACAAACTGATATAAAGAGGGGGCACTTGAAGAGTTGTCCTTGAAGAGTTCGTCACCTGCAATGCTATAACAGTTTATTTATTTAATTATATATATACTATGATGGTAACAGGATTGATATATAACCAGGTAACAAAAGCACTTGGCATTTGTATGTGCACTAAAATCTAAATATATATGAAGAGTTCAGATGCAAAACCCTCTAAATGCCATTTGAAATTTTTTTCTTTAATGATGATTTTTATCAAGCTTGTATATTTAAGTTCAGTAATTTCACTTAAATAACAATTAATAGGTAATTATCATTGCCATTTAAGTGAAATTACTGAACTTAAATATACAAGTTTGATAAAAATCATCATTAAAGAAGAAAATTTCAAATGGCATTTAGAGGCTTTTGCATCTGAACTCTTCATATAAATAAAATGCAAAATAATTGCTTTTTCAATCTAAATGGAGGCTATATAAATGTACAAATACAGCAATGAGAAGTTGGAAGCATGACACAGGGGATATAATTATTGACTTTATTTTTTTTACCTGTAATAATGTTCTGTGCATAGTAAAAGTTCCTATTCATGGTTTAAATATGTGCACAACAGTGATGCGCGGGTTGATCCGAAATGAGCGGGTGCCTGCGGTCACCCGCGGTTACCCGCAGTTACGGGTCATCCAAAAATGTTTTTAATGATATTCGGGTCGCGGTCGGTCGGGTCGTTTGAAAAAAGATGCCAAAACATTTGTATTAATATAGCACTAGACACAATTTTTGATGAAATATACAGCCCTACACATTATTGGCTGAATAACTGACACGAAGATAACACATCAGTCGAAACTGTACTGGTTCTGTACTGGTGATTCGAGAACCGCTGTCCCTGTGCGTTCGGTAGTCCACAGTATCAGCTGCTCGTGCTCATCACAACAGTGGCACCAACATGTCTCGGTTACTGGAGTAAAATGTAATTCAGGATATTGATTTATTTCGATTCGTAGGCGACCGTCAGGCATGTCTGAAAGTGAGTAACTTTAGTAACGTGTGGATCAGCACTGACGCAAGACGTGAACTGTTTCGAACGATTTAGTTCGATTTTGTGTACTGGTTCGACCGGTTCACTAAAAAGAGCCGGTTCAAAAGAACGATTCGTTCACGAACCGGCCATGTCTATGATCACTACAGTCTGCAGAGAGATGGAGGCGGCAGAGAAAAGGTGAAGACTGGGGAGTGGAAGCTCCGCAAATACACAAATAGAACGAGTAAAAGTGTGGGAGACATTTACTGAAATAATGAAAGATGATGACCAAAGTGCTGGCTTTGTTATGTGTAGGCCTACGTCTTCTTGCGATGCTGTGTTGTTACACGTCTATGGCTCAATAACGCTCCGATGAGCATTTACTACTTTTAAAAAATGCGGCCAGGAAGCGGGTCGGGTACAATATTTTTTTACTTTTTTTTGCGGTCCGAGTTGCGGGCGGGTAGTTGAAAACGTCGGTCGGTTGCGGGTTGTTTATACATTGACCCGCGCATCACTGATACACACACACACAAACACACTTTTATACACAAACACACCAAAAAAATTCAGATTATACATGTGTTTTGCATTTTTAAAATGCTAAATTTGTCCACCAGATGGCATCCATCTCATTTCAAAAATTGCTTTTATGAGGCCTAGGCTTGACTCTAAAATGAAATACAGCTTTAAAAAAAATAAAAAAAAATATTTTTTATATTTTTCTATTATGTTCAAAGGGGGGAAATTTTGTCATAATTATTGCATTTATACTAATTATATTTTTTTTTTTTGAAATTCTCAAAACACCAAAAAAAGAAAAAATATTATAAAAAACGAGTAAAAAAAAAAATCATGATTTTTTTTTTTTTTTTAAATATGAATATGGGCCCTTTGGGTCCATTTGGACCTGAACACCCCAAGTGTGACTCTGAAACGAACAACCCCAGAGGGTTAACTAACTGCAGATTAGCATGCATATTACTTAGTTTTTGGCTGTTTATTAGTACATATTAATGCCTTATTCTGCATGACCATATTCTGTATCCCTAAATCCACCCAATACCTAAACTTAACAATTTAACAACTACCTTACCAACTAACTAATAATAAGCAGTAGTTTACGTTGGCAAAAGTCAGTCAATAGAAAAATGGACCCATAATCTAAACTGTTACCATTATTTCTATAGAAACATGAAGGAAAATGTGAAATTATAACAAAAAAAAAAAAAGTTATTGCTGAAGCAAACCCACATCAGAGCCTCTAGGAACTGAGATGGGTCAGAGCCGCATTGGCAATCTGGCAACATATCTGGCCTTAACTCAATTGTGTAAAGGCGGCTTTAGAAAGGTCAGCACATTAATGCATTCTAGACGTTTTAATGTGACAAAACAATTTATCGCTAAATTCATCGTAATCAAACTAATGATGACCTTAGCGTTGGTCATTGTGGCATTATTATTAGTGCATGAGTACGGCAGTTCAGACGTCACAGATACGGACCTGTGTAGAGTCATATTGGCTGGTTAAATATTGGCGCAGATGGTACATAAAAGGTTGATGGTTCTTCTAACCCTGCAATGGCTGATTCATGAATTGTCACCTTTAAAACACTGAACCTCCTGCGACGATACACTCACACTAGACAAAGTAACCGCCAATGACATCTATCATGCTCTGTGTGCAGCAACAGTTTCTCTCTGTCAAGCAGTCCTGTGTACGTGTGTGTGTGTGTTTCATTTATTCTGTTCCACTCCATTGGCTTAATGCTGTTAATGTTAAGTGGCAATATTTTAAAGTGGGTAATGTAGGTCAGTGTGATTTCTGATTATGTGCCGTTAACATTTTACACTTTGAAAATGTTAGAGTGCGTAAATTCCCATCAGCCACAGCCGAGATATTGACACAGCTAAATCCGCATGATGTATTTCTTAAACCCAGCTGATTGACATGCATGTGAGGGATGCATTAAATTGTAAATGAGAGAAACGCTGAGCACACGCACAACAGATAATTTTAATTGAAAACTTTCACTTGTCCACTGAGGTGCAACGCCAGAATATTGAGAGCGGTTTCACATTTTTCTCTGCTGAACAAAACCAGCTAATTATTCTTTTAGCATACACTATATTTACTTAACAGAGAAGTGCGCAAGTTGGTAATTGTCGAGGTTATGAAATTAAATAGGCTGATTTGTTCATTTCCAAGAAAAAATGATCAACTTTAATGCACAAAATGAAAGTTCTCATAGAGGAACAGACAGTGACGGGACGCCCTCTATTGGCTAAAGGTTTTGCACCTCCAGTGATTTAAATTGAATAACTATTTTATTATTTATTTTTAAGGACCAAATTTAATATATATCCATTGATCGATACATACTTACATCAATTCCTTTTTTGTCACTGACTGATTTTGACAGTGGACTTAAACCATTCACTGTAAAATAAAACCAAGATCATTGGAGTACGTTTTTCTACTTCAAAAGTTCACATTTACTTCAATGTGGCACTTGCCGTTTCTTTGTGAAATTTACAAGCAATTTCCGAGTGAAATCCGTTTCTAATTTCCGAATCTTTTTCAGTGCATGTCGTGAGCAATGTACCACAGCTCTGAAATTAATAAAGGAAATGATGTGTTTTTGTGTCTCATTTAATGGAAGATCCAAATTTAAACAGTGTCTGAAAGCATTCTTATATTTGAACAACATAAAGGAAATAAAGTTTTGCATAGAACAGCAGTAGAAAGAGAAACGGAGGTAGAGAGAGTCAGACTTGCATACTAAGTATTGGCGTTGGACGGGCAGTGGGTTCAAGCTGAAGGTCACGCTTCTCCGCATGTTTCCTCTGAGAGTCACAGCACATCTGTCCTCTCTGTCTTATATGGAAATCATCTGTCATGTCATATTTTGATTGGTCCCTGAGGGCCACATGACAGAAAGCACAAACTGGCCCCAGGTGCATTACAGGTAATGCTATAGTCTTTAGAGATCACATGATCCGGTCACCATCGGTTACTCTTGGCAGCCAAGTCCTCGTCCATGATTCGTGGAAGACGTCCGCTAGCTCCGCCTTCCAGGTATCTGGACTTCACAGTTGGCGCTTCTGGAAATGTCCTCTTTTTACTCAAATCTGATGAAGGAAAAAAGCAGTACAGAGGTTTTTTTTCACATGAAAATGCTTGAAATGTTTAGATTTATCCACCATATGTCGACATTCTTAGTCAAATCAGCCAACAGAATGTTTCCCTTAATGAGTTCTACATTAGATTGGTTAATTAAAGTGACCCGTGATGGCGAGAATCATCTTCCGCCGCGCTCCAAATGTGTTCACGCCCACTTCCTTCAAATCCTCGTCTGACAGCGTCAGGAACGTCTGGTAATCGATCTAACAGAGAAGAGAACAACATTTATTTGTGTGTTTTGTGTGTTTGCATGCGTTGTAATTAAAAAATGTGCATGTTTTTGAAAGGAGTCTATTACGCTCATAAAGGCTGCATTTATTTGATCGAAAACATAGTGAATATGAAGCAGCACAACTGCTTTCAACATTTATAATAATCATAAATGTTCAGATTTGATCACAGGAATAAATTACATATTATATCACAGAATATATTCAAATAACAAAAACATTCAATATTATTATTTTCTTATGATATTTATATTGTATTTTATTTATTATATTATATAATTGTAAACTTTAACATTTCACAATATTATAGTTTTTACTGTATTTTTTAGCAAATAAATGAAGAGTTCAGATGCAAAAGCCTCTAAATGCCATTTGAAGTTTTCTTCTAAAATGACCATTTTTATCAAGCTTGTATATTTAAGTTCAGTAATTTCACTTAAATGACAATTAATAGGTAATCTTCATTGCCATTTAAGTGAAATTACTGAACTTAAATATACAAGCTTGATAAAAATGATCATTCTAGAAGAAAATTTAAAATGGCACTTACAGGCTTTTGCATCTGAACTCTTCAAATGCAATGTTGGTGAGCATAAGAAAAAATACAGTAAAAACTATAATATTGTGAAATATTAAAGTTTACAATGATATAATATAATAAATAAAATATAATATAAATATCATAAGAAAATAATGTTATTGAATGTTTTTGTTATTTGAATATATTCTGTGATATAATATGTTATTTATTATATTATATAATTGTAAACTTTAATATTTCACAATATTGTAGTTTTTACTGTATTTTTTAGCAAATAAATGCAATGTTGGTGAGCATAAGAAAAAATATATATATTCCACACATACAAATATCAGATCAGGCTGGTGTTTGATTTGATATTGAACATTTTGCATCTACCCATAATGGTAACACTTTACTCGAAGGGGTGTGCAAAAAACTAACATGACACCTTCATAATCATGACATGACATGTTATGAATATTAAGTTTTCTGCATGTTTGACAACTGTCATTAAGTGTCATTCACTCAGTTATGACATTTATAATGTCAATAAAAAATATTCATGACAGTTTTAATGACCTCAGGACAGCCAATGTCAAAGCAGTTTAACTTCATTTAATGTCAAGATGTCATGACAAAGACACTGACAGGTTATGATGTATTGGTTTATGTCAAGATGTCATAAAGACATCTTAAACAATGTCATATTTGCATTCAAAATGTCATTATTGAGCCAAAGACACTTAATGACAGTTGTCATAAACATGCATAAACCCTACTTCATATTCAAGACATGTGTCATTTCATGGTTATGAAGGTCCATGCCACTCTTATGCACACCCCTTCAAGTAAAGTGTTACCGAATGTTGTTTTATTGAAATCCAAGACAAATATTCTGTGTAAAAAATCATTTTTTTTTCCAGTGCAAATGATGATTGTTTGTTTGACAAACCAAAAACAAAGCAGAATGTACTGTACACTTCTGCTCATGGAAGAAATAGCCTGACCAACTTTAGCAAATCCAGTCCCTAGATCCACCTCAAACTTTGAGAGATGACTTTGTTTCCAGGTAGACTAAAATAATCCTGTGCTCCCTCAATCCTCAAGGTCAGATCCAGTCGGATCTTGCCAAGTTTGTAAGCAATATGCATCAGACAATAGCGGCGTGTGGGCGGTGTGTGGGTGTGCCGTCTGGGACGTGTGTGTGTGTGGGTTGTGCGTTTGTGCGTACCTCCTGTTGTTGGAAAATATCAATGTATTTCTCCAGACCCAGCTGTGCCAGTAACTCTATGAGATCATCTGCGTGGGCGGGACTGGGAGAGTTGCCAATCAAATGTCTGGACACTGTAGCCCCGCCCTCAGAGCTGGTCAGGTGGCCCTCCGCTGCAGGTCAAAGGTCAGAAATGAAAAGCTCATAAAGCTGGTGTGATATTTAAATTTCCCAGTAGGAAATCTCCATCACCTCTACAAGCGTAAATGATTGTTTCACCTTGAAATAAAGCTGCTGGCACAATTGAATTCTGTAATGAGCAGCTAAACTAATTTAATAGCTACTGTTAATTAAACATGATACAGTGTGTCACTCCCTCTGGAGCAGAACGATGAGTTTAGCAGCACACATACATGTTCGGGCTGATGGCAAATTATAGGCAAGAAAGGATGATGATGAAGGTGGTGATGAAGATGCAGATCCACGTCTTTCTCTCCAGTTTCCCGAGTCGCTGCCGTTCCAACAGCGTTCCTTCCCACTTTGTGAACTCCACACCTACAACCACACAGACAAATGATCATGCCGAAATAATGACGATTTGATCACAGGAATAAATTACATTTTACAATACATTTACATAGAAAATAGTTCTTTTAATTTGTAAAAATATGGAAATGTACATTTCGAACTAAAATGGTTGTAATTGAAGAATGCTTTGGAATATAGACGTAAGATTGGTCTTGTTTTAAAGAAGACATTTGACAGATTTTAGAAGTGAAATAAATTGAGAAAGTGAAACAGAAATACTGTAAGTTATAGCAGTTTGAGTGTATGAAAATGTACAATGTAAAAAAAAATTGATTATTCATATTTTATATAAAATATACATTTTCAAAACTGCAGAAAAATCAAAGCCAAAAATATAAATAAGTTGTATTTCAAATTTTAGATTGATATCTCAAAAAATTAGCTTTCAGTGAGATTTAGTTTGGGCGCAGTACTGAACGCTACCAGAATCCATTACTGCTCATATAAGGGCGCCTCCATTTCCATATGCGTTTTGAGTGATCAGAACCATCATTTACACAATTTTCATACAATTTATGAAGTAGACATCCTATTCAGAAGTACTATGGGAAGTTTGGCAGATTTTGATATGAATTCAACCTCTAAGAAACACATACAAAGAACACACACGTGCGTCATAGCTTGCTGCCACATCACAAATGGTGAAATTAATAGTTTTTTCTTTATATTTAAAACATTTTCAGACCTTTTTTTCTAAAATAATTGAATGGATGCTATCTTTTGAACTCTTGGCATGAAAACAAACTGAGGTATCTACCATTCTACCATCTACCATTGCTATTTCAAAATAAAGGTCTCAACACGCCTAGGAGAATGAAAATATGCTTGTTGCAAATTGATAAATTACGGATCCTCTGTAATTTATTTTGAAAATCAGACAGCAAATATGGAAAGTAGAGATTGTAAGCTTTCAAATGAAATATAATTTGTCAATATTACTTAAGGTCTTTTCTAAGATAAAAATATAATGGCCGTGGGACGGTGATGGTTAAGGGATAAATGCAGCCTCGGTGAGCAGAAAAGACCTGGGTCAAAACATTTTTTTTTCTTTTTGGAGTTTGAAAGCTGCTTTCTTTATATAAAAAAGGAGCAGCGTGAACATTTCGCAAAACAGTCTTTTGTATTCCGCAGAAAAAAAAATGCTTTTACAGGAAATAATTTTGACAGGTTTAAAATTATATGAGCTTTAAGAAAGGACGAAGCACGAAATAGACGGATTTCAATAACTTTTCAATTTGAATCCTTTAAGGGGTTTCACTTATTCTCCGAAATAATGTGATTCAAACAGCAGTAACAATCAAAAAAAGATTCAATCAGTTCAGCAGTGCGGCGCTAAACCTCTTCCATTGAGATCTTTAATTGGGAGCGTCTCATTATCTCAGCAGAGAGGAAATGAGGGTGGAAGTGAAGGGAACAGTGATGTGCTGCTCACTTCAGTGATTGGAGTTAGAGTCTTTTCTCCATGATTACACTGTACTGAATGACAGACGCGTATATGTGTGTGTATATACAGTACCACTGTACTCAGAAAGGAAACTTTTTATAATCTCACACACAAGGTTCCTCACACAGGTGGGTAATTTTGTCTTTTCTCTTGTTCAGAACACACACACACATACACAGTCCATGTTGATACACCTATCATTATGAGGACATTCCATAGGTGTTATGGTTTTAATACTGAGCTCATTTCTAGCCCAAACTCACAGAAAACTTACTACATTTAAATATATATATATATATATATATATATGAAGAGTTCAGATGCAAAAGCCTCTAAGTGCCATTTGAAATTTTCTTCTAAAATGATCATTGTTATCAAGCTTGTATATTTAAGTTCAGTGATTTCACTTAAATGACAATGATAATTACCCATTAATTGTTATTTAAGTGAAATTACTGAACTTAAATATACAAGTTTGATAAAAAAAAATCACCATTAAAGAAGAAAATTTCAAATGGCATTTAGAGGCTTTTGCATCTGAACTCTTCATATATATATATATATATATATATATATATATAACGAGTAAAAAAAAACTTGTTTATGAGCAATTTGACACACTACAATATAAGGACTTCAGTTCCTCATAATGTAGGTCAAACGAGTACACACATAGTTTTAGTTAAAAACAGAAAACTTCTGATGCGTTTTACTCTATGTAAACAACAAAAAGGCAAATTTGTGAAAATGGTGATGTCATGCGTATACATATTACATGCTCAGTCTATAGGAGTGTGTGTTTCTTGACAAAGTGACATCACCAACTACTGGCCGGATATGAATATTACAGTGTTTAATCGTTTCGTGAAAGCGATCGTTTTGACAAAGTTGTCCTCTGTACATGAAAAACACAAAGGAAAAACTTTTCTGTTTTTAGTAAGATTCCAGTTAAAAAATGTGGGGTTGGTAAGCTTTTTAAAAAGAAGTCTCTTATGCTCACTAGTATGGAAGCATGGGTATTTGAAATGTAATATGCAAAATGATAATGCAATATGTAAAATAGCAATGCATTTCTGTATTTACATTTGCATTTTCCATTACATTTGTGCAATGCAAAATTACATTTTATAAATTACATTTGCAATTTCATAAACTAGTTTTAATAAGTCAATTGAATACATATACTAAGGCTGCATTTATTTGATGAAATATTAATAGTATTAATTAATACAAAATACTGTATTTCTATTTGAATACATTTTAAAAGTGTAATTTATTCCTGTGATCAAAGCTGAATGTTCAGCATCATTGCTCCAGGCTTCAGTGTCACATGATCCTTCAGAAATCATAATAATATAATGATTTGTTGCTCAAGAAAAATTTTTGGAAACAGTTCTGCTGCTTAAAAATTGTGGAAACCATTAAATATTTTATTTTTCAGGACTCTCAGTGAATAAAGTTGAAAAGAAGACCATTTATTTGAAACAGAATTCATTTGTAACACATTTTTACTGTCACTTACTTAATGAATTTCTTTCAAAAATCAAAATATAAACCCCAAATTGGTGTTCATATAATAACTTTTAGATTTCATGAAGAAAATGCGAGCGGTGTTTGCTGCTGCAAAACTCACTATTGGCACACATGATGAACTCTGATACTCAGTGCCAAAGGGTTTTGAAAATCCAAATAGCTTTGTATAAAAATAACTGTGTCCTCATTTGCAAAGCGAGATGTGTGTGTGCACCTGCTGCTGGTTGTTGTTGTAGGGTCTGTAGCAGCGGCGGCTCACGGCTCTCAGCTCGCGCACAGCGTCGGTGGGCATCGATTTCGAGAAGCCCAAACCGGCCCAGGTGTCAGTGGGGGTGCGAACCTCAGTGACCACAGGTGTCTGCTGCATGGCTGTAACACACACACACACACTAAATCACAGGCATTATTAGACACACACACAAACTGCCTGAACGCCTGGAAACATAATACACTCAGAACCGGGTCCAGATTTACACTGGCATACAGCAGCAGCTCTAATTAAAGTGTGTTTGCAGTGTCGCTTTTAGCTGCGTTGTGAATTGTGTGTGTGTGTAAGTCCCCCTGAATTATTAAACACCTGCCACCTAATTAAACAACTTAATCAAGATCAGTCATGCAGTAGAATGTGCTGCTATACCCTTCTACATCTCTCTCTCTCTCTCTGTGTGTGTGAATGAAATAGTTTGAACAGGAGCTTAAGTAACGGTGTGTGTTTCAGAGGTGCACATGGTGTGAGATTAAAGATTAAAAAACACATGCACATTCTTGAAATTAGTGGGATAATCTTTTGACGTCTTGTGTGGCGATTCCTGAATCAAGAATGCCACAATATGTTTTAAGAGATCAGATTTATAGTCTCTGTCTAACTAGTCTTAATTACTCTGTTTCTCAAATAATTTGTTATCTTTTTACATCATTTACTTTATACATCAAACCCAATCACTTTAGACAGAAATCTGGATAAATACTTAAGTGTGTTTAGTGAGCTTGTGGGTAGATTGCATAAGTTCAAGGGTTTTTTTTTCGAATCACTAAATCAAACAAACGTTTAAACTTGAAAGTGTATAGCTTAAAGGGATACTCCATTTTTTTTTGGAAATAGGCTCATTTTACAACTCCCCCAGAGTTAAACGGTTGGGTTTTACCGTTTTCGAATCCATTCAGCCGATTTTCAGATATTTAGAAGAATGTTAGTAACCAGACAGTTTCTGGTCTCATTGACTTTCATAGTAGGAAAAAAATATATACTATGGGGGAGTTGTGAAATGAGCCTCTTTCCAAAAAAGTGGAGTATCCCTTTAAATGCAATGTAAGTGTCTTTGGATAAAATCATCTGCCAAACGCATAAATGTTATCAAGATTAAGATAAAATGTTTATGAATCCAAATCACATTTTGCCTATACTACACTGTAAAAAAATATATTTTTGTTGTAAACAAAGCTGTAAATAAAACAAGGATTGTTGGAGTATGTTTTCAGCTACGAAATATGCTTTAAAATTTCACATTTTATTCAATGCATTATTTGCCGTTTCTATATACAATTGCTTGCAAATCATTTCTGAGTTAAGTTGTTCATTTTAAATTGTACTTGAAATTGCCATACAAATATTCCTCATGTGTAAATTAACATGAGCTCATGAAAAGGGTGCGGAAATAATAAATTTAGTCTAACACGTCATACCTCATGTCAACTAGCCAGAAAACTTTTACGTCAGCTTGCTCCGTGTGTGTGTGTTTGTTCATCCGTCTGCATATTCTGTGTGTGGAGTGGCTGCAGTCCATTATAAATCTGGCAGCGTGTTACTCTGAAATGGGTCCCCTCTATCACCCTCTCTGGCACTGCGTAACGCTTAAATGGCTCCCCTATATCACCTCTCTGGCACACTCAAGCTCTTTAATCCATTTTGAGGTTTATACAGCATGATGAATGCCAAATAGACGGAGCCTGTGGCGGCCCGTCACACACAGACACAAGTCCCCCAGTCACGGCCCAGAATAACAATCTGAATTGGGCACAACTTAAATCATTTGGCTTTCAATCGTCACATTTGATCACACAAAGATTATACTTTGAAGTGAGTCGCTGTGAATATTATGCAGAAAATAAACACATCGATCTAAAATTCACTGGTAAGAACTAAATATGAGTGTATGAACACATCTAAAACATAAATATTCATCACAAAAACCTCAGAAACAACAGTCTCACTGTCATTATTCAGCGCCGTTTTTTTGTATTGTGATATTGATTCCTAAATAGACTTGAAAATATATTGTATTTTATACATTTTTTTATTATTAATGGGGGAATAATGACTAAGATATGTTCATACAGTACTAATTGAATGGCTCTAAATCATTTTAGTTTGAAAATAATAGTAATACTGAAACAACAAACATGATAAAATAGTGATAATATATAACATCTTTGACATGTAATGTTTCAAGTAGTGATGATAATATAATAAAATATAATAAAAAATTTTAGATCTAATGTTTCAAGTAGTGATGATAATATAATAAAATATAATAAAACATTTTAGATCTAATGTTTCAAGTAGTGATGATAATATAATAAAATATATTTTAGATCTAATGTTTCAAGTAGTGATGATAATATAATATAATATAAATAATATAATATAATATAATATTTTTTAGATCCAATGTTTCAAGTAGTGAAGATAATATAATAAAACATATTTTAGATCTAATGTTTCAAGTAGTGAATATAATATAATATAATATATAATATAATATAATATAATATAATATTTTTTTAGATACAATGTTTCAAGTAGTGAAAATAATATAATAAAACATATTTTAGATCTAATGTTTCAGGTAATGATGATAATATAATATAATATAATATAAAACATATTTTAGATCTAATGTTTCAAGTAATGAATATAATATAATATATATTATATAATTAATTATAATAGAATATATAATTAATTATATTTTTAATATAATAGAATATATAATTATATATATATATATATATATATATATATATATACATAAAATGTAATGTAATGTAATATAACATAACATATTTTAGATCTAATCTTACGAGTCCTGAAAACAAACCTTGAGTTGCCAGATGCTTTTTTCTCTCGTATTCATGGTCCTGTTAAACAAACAGTAAACAAAGATAGTTAAAATAAACCAGTAAGACAAATGCATTTAGTTGTGAACTATAATTGCTAAATCTGACAAAACCTTCCTTTTTTGATTAATAGCTACAGTTTTATTTCTAAAAATGTAAGAGTGATGTACCTCATTATGAGGATCGGCGGAGGGGAATATTCTCAGACTACAGCGTCTGTCTCTGTTCAAACAAACACCATCCACCTCCACCCTCACTGACCTGAAACACACACACACACACACACACACACACAGATATATTCTAGAGCGTAATCCAGAGCATGTTCTGCCAGTCTGGACGGAGGGTTTTACCTCTCAGACGTGAGCGGCTGGTTTGGCTCCCTGAAGGCCTCTGATTGGCTGCCTCTCCTTGATGAGACAGTTGTCTTGGCAACGACCTCTCTGACCTCTGTCACCTCCGCATGTGGCGAGACACAGGACCCCGTCTCTGCTGGTGTCTGGGGATCGTCGTTCTCTGGAATCTGAAACAATGACATTAATACAAGATTTTTGTTTTGTTTACTTAGAAACACTTTACTTTCATTAAATCTCATTTATTTCAGCATTATATTAATAAACATACATTTTAATTGAAGAAGTATAAGTGGCGTGAATCATGCAGTCAGTCGATCAATCAATATGATTAGTTATATGCATGAAACATGACTTTTGACAAATATTCTGAAATATACAACTAAATACTGTATAAATACTTATAATAGTAAATGTAATATATATTTTTTAATAATACAAATTAAATATATAATATAGGTTTTTAATAATAAAAATTATATATATATTTATATATATATATAATTATATTCATAAAAATATTGTATTCAAATATCTGTGTATAGATGTATATATTTTTATATAACTTAAATTCAAGTTATTATATTATATCATATAATGTAATGATGAAAAAAAATCTTAAAATAGGTTTCATTTTCTATGGGCAAATTATATATTAGATACAATTTTTATTATTATTATGGGGTGAAATATTACCAAAACATGTTCTAGACAGATGCTGTGATATAATATACTAGTAAGTCCATTAATATAATCAGGATTCTGATCGTTGAAACCTTCTCTAATTTAGACTCCACTCCTTTGAGTCCTATCCGTCCATCCTCTGATGTAACAGCCAATCCAGGTGGTGGTGTGGGGCGGGGCTTCCCAGGGGGAGAGCCAATCACAGCATCTGGAGAGGGCACAGCGCATGACAGGTACAAAAACAGTTTATTTAGCACAACAAGTAAGCATCAATGAAATTAAAGAGGATGAAAGTGCTCATAAACCACTGACACACACACACACACACACCTGTCTCAGTGAGGCCCAGTTGTTGCATTAACACCTTGAGCCAGTAGCCTGTGATTCCACTATTGGCCACCGGAGGGTCCACGGGGGTCTTGGTGGTCCCCGAGACCTCACTGGAGTCCAGCCCGAGCAGCAAACGTCTGGCCTCATAGAGGTTCATGATGTTCCTCTCCAAACCTTTCACAACCACTGACTGGACACAGACACTTTAAACAGTTATACATGCATACATGACCAAAAAATGAAAACCAGATGAAATGTCAGTCATTTTTTTAAAACAATATTTAATGCTAATTGTTGTAAAAAAAAAAAAAAAAAAAAGTTTAACATCTTAATTTAAAAAAATGTATTAATTTTAGTTTTTTTATATCATGTAATATTAATAAAATGCTATAACATTTGTATATAGTTTTCAATATTTTTATATGGTTTAAATTATCACAGTGGAAAAACTTTTACTTTCCTAAAATAAGCTTAATTTCCCATGAGAGAAACATTTTATTTTATATACTGTATTATATACATTTGTTTGAATATGGGGTGAACTATTCCTAGACCTTTTACCTCTTTGAACCTAAAAGTGAAATTATGATAATTTTTTTAGCTCCTAAAAATGCCTGCTGTATCAAGACCATGAAGTACGTAATCGTAATTTTAGTCTGCGAGTATATACATTTCATATTTGGTATGAATAGGTTATTTTGACAGGTGCATTATGGGAACTGTGCTGTAGTACCTTCACTGTTTGCTTGACCTTCGGTTTGACACTGATAAAAACTCCCAGGTTCTGCATCATCTGAGCGAGTTTCCGAGGGTCAGAATCTCCCTCGTCCTTCAAATCAAACATCAGACAGACGGGCAGACAGTCCTGCATGAGAACAGACAGAGTCAGACAAGAGCCGAGACAAACACATTGCCCGAGTCTTATAAATATGTTATTGTTTAGTATATCGTGTGCCGTGTGTGCTGACAATCCATTATGCGGCTAATCCTGTCAGAATCAGAATTAATTCATTGAAAATGAATGTAAACTAAAAAAAAACTCATTAAAATGACAAAAATGTTAAAATACTAAAACTTTAATTAAAATAAAAACTGAAACAGAGAGATATTCAAATAAAAGCTATTTTAAAATATTAATAAAGCAATAATATCAAATATATTAAAATGTATCTTAGTTTTACAATTCAGGTATTAATGTTTATACTCTAACTGTCAAATCCTATGTAAACTGTACGTGTACTAATATAGCAGACACACACAGGTTTGTACCATCAGCTGCTGTCGAGCGAGACACACTCCGTCAGCCGTGCCCTGGATGAGGAGCGAGGGTGTGTGTTGCGGAGCGCTGAGGTCGGGCAGGATGATCTGTGTGTGTGTCTGATGCATCACGGTGAGGAAGTTCGCTCCGTTTTGACCCAACAGGAACAAGTGTTGCTGCGAGGTGACGTCCAGCTGTGTGCTCACCATCACTCCTGTCAAACCCGAGCCCAGCAGCAGCTCCATGAGGACACACGTCGCCTTCTGCAGAGGTCAAAGGTCAAGGAGTAATCACACCACCCTGAAACATGTTTGCTGAATGAAATCACATATTTGTTTTTTACTAATTGTGGGGTGCTGGTTACAAAAATAGTGCCTGTTTATCTTTCTCACAAAACATGATGTGTATTTTGTAGCATTTTTGCAGGTTGTAACTATCATTTCGATTCTCAGCCGATTTCCACGTAATTTTATGCCTAATCCTTATTTCATGTTTAGAATTAGCATGGCCAATAACAGAAGAAAATGTAAACATGGCCACATGTTTTCTGCTACATCTGTGGGTGTTGGACAGTTAATATTAATATACAGTTAATATACATTTCTCAGTTGAACCCAAAAGTTTTGCGATCGAACGAACGCTGACATCATTTTTCCTCCCATTTTGGTATTTTTATCTTTCACCGTGTCCCTGTAGGGGCTCCATACACATAGATATATCATTTGAAAAATCTTGCAAAAAGATTTTTTTTAACTTGGTAATATCAAGTGTTTTTGCAAATCAGCTGAATATTTTAAGATCATATCTGATCACATGATCACACCTTCAGGGCAGCAGTGTTTCCCTGCACTCCCCTCACGCTGCAGGAGCTGCAGTAAAGTTTGGGCTGCGATCTGAAGCTCACGCTCACTCCAAACGCCTGAGCCACGTGCTGGATCACCGGAGACCCTGTGTCTGCCACAACACCCCCCACAAGGGTCACGGGGAGGTCAAAGGTCAGCACCAGGGGCTGCAGATCCTGCAGGTCACAAACTCAGGCAAATCACACCAGATTCATATGCACATACATTTATCACCAATGACAGCCTCATTCATTCCCATTATTCTTCATGGTGATTCTCACTAGATTTTCACCACTGTAGTACGATATTTTTAAATCAGAGTAAAATTGAAAGGTAGAATAACAATTACTACAATCATAAAAAAATGTATAATATTTTGTAATGTATAAATTAAATTAATATATTATTATTACAATCAGGGTTAATATTGTTAACTAAAAGTTACTTGAAATAAAATAATGAACTGAACTGAAATAAAATAAAATACAATTTCGTTCTCATTTTAGTTTAATCGTTTTAGTTGAAACACTAAAATAACTAAATAAACTAAAACTAGAGAATTAATGGGATAATAATAAAAAAAATAATAAAAATGACAAAACAAAATACAAAAAAAATTAAATATAAAAATGAACAAAACTATAAATATTTTAAACAAAAATAAGATTATAATGATCATAATTTAATCTTTTATTTATTTATTTTATTATATTAATTATTATCTTAATTTATTGGTTTAATTATTATATTATCATAAAAACAATGTTCCTTTTCTTTATTATGGGCTGAATGAGACATAAAAACACATATTTGAATATAAATATATGAATACTGAATATATGAAGTCACATATAATGAATGAGGCCTCACTGACCCGGATGCGTCTCCGCGCAGACTCCACCCCCTGAACCGGCCCGGCGATGGACACCTGCAGGTACAAAAAAAATGAAGCAATACGCTTCTACAATGATGAGAAGTAATGCTGTGGGTTCATATCCGAGTACCTGGTTGCTCTTTTCGCCCGTGCCGTTGTTCCGGTTGGAATCGGGGAAGTGAATGTGACAGGAAGTGTCCTCCATGACCTTCTTAATGTTCCCGCCCCCTTTCCCGATCACATGAGAGTGCTCCGTGTGTGTGACGTCCATCTTCAGCGTGACTTTATTCACCTGTGCACAGGTGTGTTGGTGTGACTGAGATCTCCACAAGACAGATAAACACACTCCTTAAAGGAGTAGTTCACTTTAAAAATTTTTGCTGATAATTTACTCACCCCCATGTCATCCAAGATGTCCATGTCTTTCTTTCTTCAGTCGAAAAGAAATGAAGGTTTTTGATGGAAACATTCCAGGATTTTCTCCATATAATGGACTTCAATGGGAACCAAACGGTTCAAGGTCCAAATGAGAACAGGAGAGTCATGAACGCACATCACAGAACAGAGCAAGGCGAGCATTTGAGATTATAAACTTCAATTTTTTTATTTATTTTTTAAATGACTGATCGTTTCACTAGATAAGACCCTTATTCATCGTCTGGTGTCGTTTAAAGCCCTTTGAAGCTGCACTGAAACTCTCATTTGGACCTTGAACCGTTTGGTTCCCATTGAAGTCCATTATATGGAGAAAAATCCTGGAATGTTTCCATCAAAAACCTTCATTTCTTTTTAACTGAAGAAAGAAAGACATGGACATCTTGGATGACATGGGGGTGAGTAAATTATCAGCAAAAGTTTTTTAAAAGTGAACTACACGTTTAATGGGCCGTCTGCTGAAATTCAGAAGGCCTTCATTAGTCCCGCCATTTGGGCCACTTTAATGATGGATAGATGCACTTTGATGGAATTAAAAAAATAGTGCCAATTCACTGCCATTATAAAGTTTGTAAGAGCCAGGACATTTTTTATATAACTCAGATTGTATTCATCTGAAGGAAGAATGTCATACACACCTAGGATGGTTCGAGAGTGAGTGAATTTAATTTTTGGGTGAACTATCCCTTTAAGAGAATTGAAAGGAGGTCAAATCTCACCTTAGTCTCAAGAAGCTCCAGAATCATCCGTTTGGCCTCCAGAACATTTGCTCGTTTCCCCTCCACTTTAACATGAGGATCTAGAGAGAAACACAAATCATCACAATGCTTCTGCGCTAAACTAACTATTCAGTGGGGGAAATGTGGATGGAGATGCATTGGGTTTTGATTAGATAATAAAAAGTGGCTTTGATTTATGTCAGCACTAAAGAAAAATCATTTAACTATAAAAAATGATCAGCTGTGCATATTTAGAAAAACTTATGCAAATCTTGGTGTTTCCAGACAGCTTTTTTAGACAATATCCCAAAATGCACATAAAAATAAGTGGATGGAAGATATTTACTCCCCACATGTCTTTCTAAACTTGTATGTCTGTATCTCTTAAATCACATCTGCACATTCAAACATAATGTATGAATATGCATTGCACATTGCATGTAACTAAACACTTGACAATGGCATATAATGCATGACTGACAAGTTTTACTAGAACAAAAACAAGGATTTCCTTTGAAACTTTCATTCAGAAAGGAGTCAATTTCACAAATAATTAAAGAAACGCTAAGACACATTGAATTAAACATGACATTTTACAAGTAGAAAAACTGAAATTGAAAAGTATTTTCTTGTAAAACAATAATCATTGTTCCATTTACAACTTTAAGTGCACTTTTATGATTCTTTTATGGTGCATTTGAACTTTTTGGTGTTAAACAGTAGCTCGGACATTAAGCTAAATGCCTCTTTTTTTGGGTCACTGATGACAGAAGTGTGACATCACTCACCTTTCTTTGATTTCGCACCAATCTTCAGCTTGGACGGCCATTTCACCTGCGTGTGTGTTTCTCTCATCACCTGAAACAATGAGTGTATAAGGAAGAGAAACTCAGCGTTCAAAAGACATTTAATTTGCATCCATTCATCAGGAACAATGGCTCATTAGCATCTCAAAGCTCCTCGTTTTGCCTTCATAACACCTTAATCTATTCAGTGTGTTTGGAACTAAATCACTTGAGTGACTTTTACTCTCGGGAAACTGCACCAGTATGTGATCTTCATACTGAAACAGCAGCGGATCTGAACACGTTTACACGTCTCCAGACGGCAGCTGGTTTGACAGGATTTCTAGATGGTCGTGTACTTCATAGTCACGCCAAAGAGCCTAATTTATAGTGAGGTTCATCACATAAACGCTTAAATATGAAAATGAGAATGTGGTCCATTTCAGGCACTTATTAAAGGCTGATTAAAGTTAATATTAGATGTATTATTTCAATTCTTACCTTCTCGAAGAAATCCTCGCCTGACAATCCAGAACATTCAGGAGCTAAAGACAAGGTGAAATATCATATTTTATTAAAGAAATTTAAATTATATACCATAAATAAATTTAAATAATGAACATAATTGAAATATTACTTTTATTATATTGCATATTTTGCATGCTCTGCTCACACATTTTCTATATTGGCTATTTCTAGATATATGTATACTATATAATACTTTATATGCTTTACAAATAATGTAAACATTAGTAAAACAAACAAATCCATAAATAAATATTACTGTGTGTGTTTTTGGATAGTTACAATTTTGTCTCCATGTGATTCTCTATAGACAATAAACATTTGAATTTTATTCTATATATTATTTTGTATTACACTTTATGGTTTACCAATAAATACCATGAATAACTAATAAATAATAGTATATTATTACAAAAAAAACAACCATAAATAATATAATAAATAGTAAATAAATAGTGTGTGTGTTTTGGGGTAGTTCAAACTGTGTTCATGTGATAGTTCTCTAAATTCATATGGTATATTTTGCATTCTTAATACCATATTTTTCATACTGTGCTCTGTTTATTTCTAAAGTATCTGTAGACGGACTGATGGATGAATGTGGTTTGGACTGTTAAAACTGTCTGGGTGAGTTCTCTAAAGAAACTATATAACTCAAACATCATCTTAAGATTTAAAGATCTCTCTCATATAGCTCTCTCTCTCTCTCTCTCTCTCTCTGTGTGTGTGTGTGTAGGGGTGGTAAAGTTAAACACATTTGCCCCAGAGTGACATTTACAGGGTTAGGCAGAACATCCCTCCTTTCATTTGCCGCTCCTCATCACCACGGGTTACACAGCTCTGCAACCAAGAATGACTGAACGACCAGTGTGTGTGTGTGTGTGTGTGTTTTACACTAAAAGGAAAAAGACCACTAAGTCGCTTCTGAGAAACGGCGTCAAACAGCAAAGTTATGTTTGAGCAAACGACGCTGACGCAAAACTAATTCCCCTCCCTGTGAAAGGAGCAAACACACACACACCACTAAAAACACACTGAGCAGCTATACAGCACACACACACACAGAGGAAAGAGATGAAAGCAAGAACCGGTGTGAAAGAAGAGTGTGTAAGTGCAGTGTTTGTGCTCTATTCCTCAAATCATGTGTGGTGTTGAGGAGATTTTGTGTGAGTGATCAGATGTACCATTTTCACCAGCCGGACCAGAACACACAGACATATCTAAGCATATCTACAGACCTGAACACACAGACATATCTAATCATATCTACAGACCAGAACACACAGACATATCTAATCATATCTACAGACCAGAACACAGACATATCTAATCATCATATCTACAGACCAGAACACAGACATATCTAATCATATCTACAGGCCAGAACACAGACATATCTAATCATATCTACAGACCAGAACACACAGACATATCTAATCATATCTACAGACCAGAACACACAGACATATCTAATGACCAGAACACACAGACATATCTAATCATATCCACAGACCAGAACACAGACATATATAATCATATCTACAGACATATCTAATCATATCTACAGACCAGAACACACAGACATATCTAATCATATCTACAGACCATAAAACACAGACATATCTAATCATCATATCTACAGACCAGAAGACAGACATATCTAATCATATCTACAGGCCAGAACACACAGACATATCTAATCATATCTACAGACCTGAACACAGACATATATAATCATATCTACAGACATATCTAATCATATCTACAGACCAGAACACAGACATATATAATGATATCTACAGACATATCTAATCATATCTACAGACCAGAACACACAGACATATCTAATCATATCTACAGACCATAAAACACAGACATATCTAATCATCATATCTACAGACCAGAAGACAGACATATCTAATCATATCTACAGGCCAGAACACACAGACATATCTAATCATATCTACAGACCAGAACACAGACATATCTAATCATCATATCTACAGACCAGAACACAGACATATCTAATCATATCCACAGACCAGAACACAGACATATCTAATCATATCTACAGACATATCTAATCATATCTACAGACCTGAACACACAGACATATCTAATCATATCTACAGACCAGAACACACAGACATATCTAATCATATCTACAGACCAGAACACACAGACATATCTAATCATATCTACAGACCAGAACACAGACATATCTAATCATATCTACAGACCAGAACACACAGACATATCTAATCATATCCACAGACCAGAACACAGACATATCTAAGCATATCTACAGACCAGAACACAGACATATCTAATCATATCTACAGGCCAGAACACACAGACATATCTAATGACCAGAACACACAGACATATCTAATGACCAGAACACACAGACATATCTAATGACCAGAACACACAGACATATCTAATCATATCCACAGACCAGAACACAGACATATATAATCATATCTACAGACATATCTAATCATATCTACAGACCAGAACACACAGACATATCTAATCATATCTACAGACCAGAACGCAGACATATCTAATCATATCTACAGACCAGAACACACAGACATATCTAATCATATCTACAGACCAGAACACAGACATATCTAATCATCATATCTACAGACCAGAACACAGACATATCTAATCATATCTACAGGCCAGAACACACAGACATATCTAATGACCAGAACACACAGACATATCTAATGACCAGAACACACAGACATATCTAATGATCAGAACACACAGACATATCTAATCATATCCACAGACCAGAACACAGACATATATAATCATATCTACAGACATATCTAATCATATCTACAGACCAGAACACACAGACATATCTAATCATATCTACAGACCAGAACACAGACATATCTAATCATCATATCTACAGACCAGAACACAGACATATCTAATCATATCTACAGGCCAGAACACACAGACATATCTAATGACCAGAACACACAGACATATCTAATCATATCCACAGACCAGAACACAGACATATCTAATCATATCTACAGACCAGAACACACAGACATATCTAATCATATCTACAGACCAGAACGCAGACATATCTAATCATATCTACAGACCAGAACGCAGACATATCTAATCATATCTACAGACCAGAACGCAGACATATCTAATCATATCTACAGACCAGAACACACAGACATATCTAATCATATCTACAGACCAGAACACAGACATATCTAATCATATCTAGTATCTACAGACCTGAACACACAGACATATCTAATCATATCTACAGACCAGAACACACGGACATATCTAATCATATCTACAGACCAGAACAAAGACATATCTAATCATATCTACAGACCAGAACACACAGACATATCTAATCATATCTACAGACCAGAACAAAGACATATCTAATCATATCTACAGACCAGAACACACAGACATATCTAAGCATATCTACAGACCTGAACACACGGACATATCTAATCATATCTACAGACCTGAACAAATACATATCTAATCATCATATCTACAGACCTGAACACACAGACATATCTAATCATATCTACAGACCTGAACACACAGACATATCTAATCATATCTACAGACCTGAACACACAGACATATCTAATCATATCTACAGACCTGAACAAAGACATATCTAATCATCTCTACAGACCAGAACACACAGACATATCTAATCATATCTACAGACCAGAACACACAGACATATCTAATCATATCTACAGACCTGAACACACGGACATATCTAATCATATATACAGACCAGAACACACAGACATATCTAATCATATCTACAGACCAGAACACACAGACATATCTAATCATATCTACAGACCTGAACACACGGACATATCTAATCATATCTACAGACCAGAACACACAGACATATCTAATCATATCTACAGACCAGAACACACAGACATATCTAATCATATCTACAGACCTGAACACACAGACATATCTAATCATATCTACAGACCTGAAACACACACAGACATATCTAATCATATCTACAGACCAGAACACAGACCTATCTAATCATATCTACAGACCAGAACACACAGACAGATCTAATCATATCTACAGACCAGATTTTTGTAATATATCAAGACCGATCGTTTTTCGTACATGAAGTTAAACTAAATTAACTATTATACGAAAATAAATGTTTCCTTGGGATCTAGCTGAAATATTTTTTAAACATTTTATTTTAGTTCACTTTTTTTTTATTTCAAGTAGCAAAAATGTGTCTCTGTTAGCCAGACAAATACACTCTAGCAACCACCTACAAAACCAAACCCTACTATCATAGCAGTGAGTTTTACAAAGACTCTCCACAACATTTGTATTCATAATTTAAAAACTTTCTAAGGGATTTGACATTTTACGTTGATTTTTAAATGAACCATCTCTAAAAGAGAGTAATAACCCTGACTTTCGGAGGAGCATCTGCACCAGATTCCTGCTTTCTCCTCTGACAAGCTCAATCTGTCACTCGCTCTCCATCTCTGAGGGGTTTGAATGTCGACTGGATTCATGTTGATGAATCGCAGGCTGTTAACTCGACTCAACTCCAGAATCTTCCTGGACAGCTCATGATAACAGACCATTAAACCTGTTCATCACAGCACACACACACCACATCCATCTGAAGCCCATCTCTCTCACAAACACACAAGAGCATTTAGCTGTAAATCATAACAGGCTGGTTTCTAAACGGGTTTGCATAGAAAAATCGAACGGATTAATGAAGCGTCTGGAAAGAAAACTATGACAGATTATAGAGTCATCGATCAAACACACACCGTACAGCATGAGCTCCAGCTTCTTCCGGTCGATCCGGAATCTCTCCTCCACACACTCCGGATCCGAAGGCTCCTGGTTCTGAGGTTCAGATCCTTCATCTTCCTCATCCTCATCCTCCTCCTCCTTCTTCTGGTTCTGGTCCAGTTGTAGTCGGTCGCAGGGCTCTGGTTCAGGAGACTCCGGCACGATGCTGCACTTCTCGGAGCCCGCCATAGCAAAAGTGTGTGTGTGTCCATCAGGGTGACCAAGGAAACGGTAAAAAGAGGGGCCCAGAGAAACCCCCACCACACACACACACTCACACCTCAGAACAGAGCAATACTACATCACACCTCTCTAACAAAGCACATGAATCTCACTATTCATAAGTCTTTTTAAGCATCATTCCTGTTAAAGGTTTATTACTGGAATTGATAGTTCAACTTTTGAAATTCTTTGGATTATTAAAATGTTCTTCGCATTAAGAAAAAATTATTCTTTTCAGAACTGTTCACTGAAATGTTTTTTTTGGGGAACCAGAAGTACTTCTTCTATTGGATCGCTTTAAGAGTGTAAAACAAAAAATCAAATGAGTCACTATTATTATAGCCATAGCCACCATTACAACACTGAACTGGATTGAGCGGAACAGTCACACTATTGTCTTCTGCTTTACAGCTTTCAAAAATTGTTCATTTTACAACTTTAACACAGTTTTATCCTGTTTATTACTGTGAAGCTGCTTTGAAACTGTATAAAGCGCTATGTGGCTTTACATTTAATGGCATTGCTAAGCTAACACACAGAAATCCAGACATTAAACAAATCTGATTTTGTTATTTTTGTCTGTGGAACTGCCTTTTCTAACATTGTTTTCAATTGGACTCCTATTATTATCAGGATTGAGACCCAATCAATGTTTTTAGAGGGTTTTTTTTACAGTCAAAATACAATCCGCATTTCATCAGGATATTTTCTGATTCTTACATAATTTCTTACTTGGGTTGTTTGTCAATTCTGACAGGAATCCGGTACACATTCCTTCAGGATGGTCTGTGGGAATGTGTTTATTGGTTCCCGTAAGCGGAGGCCTTGGTAAAGCCGCTGGAGAAGAGTGTTTCAGACTCCGGCTTCAGGGGGAGGGGAAGCGTTTCGGGAACAATACCGGACACGACCCTCCGTTAACAACACGGTTACCTGGCAACGCATTTGTGTACAGACATGCAGGAAGATAAAGGATGAGAGTAAGTCATGCTCTTAAAAACACTGAATCATGGCAACGTGTGTTTTTCACTAAAAATAAATTCAAACTATACAAGTTAAATGAAATTCAACTGATCAACTTAACCCTGTAAAGACATTAAAAAAATACTCAATATATGGAGCAGTAGACAAAATATAAGAGTAAAAAGTTTGCATGCGTTTTCTTTTTTTTAAATAATAAGATCTTTATAATAGTATAACTGAATACTTAAAATATCAGTTTCTGCCAATAATATGTCTTATTAAAGGGATAGTTCACTTTTAAATTAATTTTTGGTATGTTTTAGCTTACCTCAGGGGCATCCAAGATGTAGGCGTCTTTTATCCGCAGTATTTCCAATTTTGATATTTTAAGGTCAAAACGTTCTTGTCTGTCAGTCATATAATGGAGGTCTATGGTCACCACCTCAAAGAGCATGCACAGAGAAGTCCAAATTAAACATGATTCAAAGACTCGTAAATGTAAGTACACATTGATGGCCTAAGACACGAAACGAACAGTTTGTGTGAGAAAACGAACAGTATTTATATAATTTTTACATCTGAGGGCGCGGGTGCTTCGTGGCTGTAGTAATACGAGTTAAAAACAATATAAATACTGTACTAAATACTATGATTGACCTTCCTCAGAAACCTGACAGTACTCATATTTTAACATGATTTTCTAATATTATGATTCGAGGATTATCAAGTTGCTTCAGTAACTTTATCAAGAATTAAAAAAAAAAAAATACGATTAAAATACAATAAAAAAACTGTTCTTTTATAAAAATCAGTAAAGATTTCAAAGCAAAAAGAGACGTGCATCACAACCTGAAGGAGAATGTGTTTACTATCAAGCTAAAAGGGCTTTTATTTGCTAAATTGGCTCCAGGAGGAGGGTTCGTTAAATCTGATTTAGAGGCTTTAAAAAATGATGCACCAAATATGAAACATGCAGTATGCATTACACGGTTAAGTTTTGAAGGTGTCTTGTGGAAGTTTTTACAGTGACTATGAGAGAACAGGAAAAAAAGCATTCCCCTGCGGTCCTACAAACTTCTAATAAAACATCTAAAGTTGCTTGACATCTATTTTCCTGTCTGTCCTTCAATATTCTGCTCAGTTCCACTCAATCTCTCTTCTGCTCAATAATTCAAACCACATATTGCTGTATATCCTTCAAACTTTAACTTTTTAAAAACTTTAGTTGGCTGTCAATCCAACATCCGACAATATTTGTCTTCACAAACTCTTGTCCAGTTTTACATTGATGTTCGTGTGTAAGTTTGACATATTTAGTCGAATTTCAGTCTGGATGATGGAACAATAAAGATTTGCATTTAACATAAAGCTTCAATAAAACACTTTCGGGAGGCTACAAACGGTACCCGTGAATATTTACTCTGTAATCAGGACAATTCTGGTCATTTTCTGCCAGAACATTATCTATCTTTTAAGTTTACAACTGCATACTTCTGTTTACTTTAAAATAAATGGACCGAATCATTCACAATAAGACCAGGAAGATGAATTAATAATAAAGTAAACAATCAAAAAGGAAGAAAATGGACCCTACAGGGCCGTTAATACCAAGAATAATACCGATATTAGCGCCCACACCAACTGATGATAGCGTTGTGTTATTGTAAGTGAACACTGGAGTTGTCATCTGCCAGTTTAATGGATCAAAGCTAGCAAATGCTTTCTGGATTGCAGCATAAAAACCTGTAATATATTAATTATCATTGCCAAATTTTAGGATTTTCATGGATTTTGGACAATAATTTTAATCTGTAATTTTAAGCATTTAACATTTGAATTATATACAATCTTTTTACATTTTAATCATAATCTTCAGTGTCTGTTTATCTATCCATCTACATCATCTTTCTAGCATTACATTTTAAAAGATTAGAGTATTATATTAAGATAATACAGATTTTTCGTTATCGAAGTTTATAGTTGTAACAAAAATCTGAAATCTCACACTCCTTCTGCATTTTATAATAATTTTCTTTTCCTCACCAGTCGAGCGATTACTCTCATCTAACCGCTGAAAAGACGTAGCAAGGGGCAGGCAGGCTGTTTCGTGAGACCTTTTGACGTCTACGTTCGTCAATAAATAAACTGCACGTGTCTTGCGGAAGAACACAGTAGCCGGAGCTACTTCTCTCCATTAATTTCTATGGCGAGTCACGCAGGCACTGGGCAACTCATCCGACATCCGAGTCGACCTCGATAAAATAGTCCGAATATAAACACTTTACAGTAGTGATTCAGGAGAAGTCAACAACACGGTTTGGAAAATGGATTCATGACGTAGCCTACTCGTCTCGTTCATTTTGACATAAGTTACGGACTCCAGCAGATGATACAACGGCGTTCTGTTGCGCGAGCGTCCACTCGCACATAATATGCGACCACATAGTGCTACTTAACTCACACATTCTCAAATCCTGAAGACATTTTAATACAAAGGTTCATGAGCAGCTGATTTATGACAGCGACTGTTGTTTCGTAATGTTCATGCGATCAGAAAGAAGATGAGGCCCTTCTGACTACGTTTGGATGTGCGAGTATTAAACTGTTGGTGAGATGGGATGAGATAGTCGCAGTTGGGAACCGGTGAGAAAATGTCTGGTACCCGGTAACTCTACCAGTAATAACAAAATTAATTTAGTTCATAGTAACGGTTCCTGAACGCTGTGACTAAAAGCTGTTAAGACCTGTCTAAAAGTTACGTGACTGTGGCGGATGTTGAGCCTGGGTCAGGTCAATTTGAGTTTATATTTAATGGAATTTGTTTACAGTAAAGGATACACAACAACATTATTTTGGATTAATAAACTTTATTTAAACTTTGGAGTTATTGCGCACACTCTTTAACGTTTAGTTTAAGTTTATTCTTACCATTCTTTTTGTTTGTTTGTTTGAGTCCCGTGAGCTGGTGCACCATCAAAAGGAGTTCAACTCGAAACATTGGACGTATATATATGGTTCCGGTGATTGGGCCACAACCATTCCGGTTTCTTCTCCGGGGGAACTCCAAGGACTATTTTGCTAGTTTTTCTTTTGTTTGTTTATAAGAAGTATATGTTTGTATATGAGGTGTTTGTTTATGTATATTGGGTGTTTTCATATTCGTTTATTGTGTGTAATGGCCATTATATGTCGGTGTATCCCCCTTTATGTGTTAATTGTTGGTGCTGGCTTCTATGTGTGTGTTCTAGACCTCTGTAAATGTTTGAGAGGCAATTATTATTATTTTTTTGATTTTTGGTATGTTTGGTTTACCACCATTGGGTTAGCATTGGCTTTACTTGTGTAACCCTATCCTGTGGAAATAAACCCCTAAACGTTTGCAGTAGCCTGCTGCCTCCTTGTTCTTTTATCCTTTACTGGTCACATCCATCACAGTGACTAAATCAGCCAGTGTGATTTGTTTACATATGAGCTGCCTCTCTGTTGAGTAGCATTTATATACACACACAAAGAGATACAAAGTCACTTATTATTATTTATTTATTTTTTATTCAATGGCGGAAACGAGTTTCCATAATGTTTCAGACACACTTCAGTTGGGTGGATTCGGATTGGCTGTCAGTGTTTTTATCATCATTAGTTGAAAATAAAAAGAAAATGCTCTGATACTTGTGGTATGGACTGATTATTCTCAGAATTAGAATGACTATTAAAACATTATAGTTATTGTACTTGTTGTAAACTTGATTTATAATGTTTGTAACCGGGGTTTTCGAGCAGGGAAACATTTTGAGACAGTAGGTGCGTTCCATTCGACAGGGTCCCTACGCAGTGTTCACTGCTCCCTACTTTCTGAACACAGTTTATCATTTGAAGTGGACTTCACTGACTTCCTGTGAAGTGATGTATCGATGTTCCCTTATTCCCTATGCCGTTTACAGTGCCCTTCGAACTGAACATGTTTGTTCCCTTCGAATTGGAATCTCACTAAAGATGGCGAAATACCCTGTGAAGTCCACTTCGCAGTCCACTTCCGGTGGAATGGAACGCACCACATTACAAGTTCTTCAGATGGTCACAAACCTCAAACACTTACGATAGCTGAAGCTTCTGCTGCCACCATGTGGTCATCACATGTACTACAGCACTGTTATTTATAATTACTAATGTGTCATGAAATATAAATTGGCTTTCTAGTTTAAAAAAACAACAACAAATAAGGTCCCTAGCCTGGCAATAACTGAAGGTTTCAAGAAACCTACCTCATTGGAAATGACGCTTATAAGAGAAACTCACATAATCTAAAACTCTCTGTGGAGCTTTTTAAACCAAAACACAATCTGAATGTAATTAAACTCATAAAACACTTTCAGGAGATGAGGAAATGTGTAACCATAGCAACAATGCCATCTGAAGATCTCACACACACTTAGTAGCAGTGTGGTTTATTTTCCTCAATTGTAATCTGCATCTGTTTGACCAGGTCAGACATCAAACAAAAAGAAAACATGAGAATGAATTTGTGAATCATGTAGTGAAAGATGCTTCAATCTACTTACATATATTTGTATTAACACATCATGCTTTGGAACACTATTAGTGACAACACCACAGTATTTTTTACCATGGTATCACAACAGATTTCCTATAAAGGACAGAACTGTGATTTTTTTCCCATCATCTCTCCAATAGTCAATTCATTTTAATTTCATCTTCATGCATGAGAGAAATTCACACCTAGAAAAAAATAATTAATTAATCTAAAAAAAGGGAGAAATGCATTTTGAGTCACGTGAAAGCCAGTGGTGTTTCATCTGTAAACATCGCATAACTTCAGCAGACAGACTTCATAATACATTTATGTGCCTTTTGATTCCCACTGAAATCATACGGGTTTTGAAGGACATGAGGGTGAGTAAAAAAATAAATAAAAAAAACTCTTTTCAATTTTTGGATGAACTATTGCTTTAATAACACATTCCCCCCTAATAAAATCACCAGTTTTGTGTTTCAACCATAATGAAGATAACATTATGAAAACATGCTGTTCTCATACAAGAAACACTTAAATGGCACTTGAATTGTAAATTCATGTTATAAAGGTTGTACTACTTTAGAAATGAGTCTCTGTGCTGATGTCAAAACTAACATTTAGCTTGAGAGCTACAAATTTAAAAGGATAGTTCACCAAAAACAATGTCTTACTCACAGTAGTGTCATTCACAAAATAAGATATTTAGTATGAACAGTCAGTTTGTCACACAAAGCATTACATGACTTCTGAAGACCTGGAAAACAGTGCAAAAATCATACACACTACTGTCAGGTACTTTTCTGTCATTCTTAGTGTCTCACAGAAGAAAGA